GATTAAATATGTGATTAAAACGTGATTAATAAAATAAATTAACACTTGAATGCGATTACTTGAAGTAAGTTTTCTTATATCCGTTATACTATTTTCACTATTCATGTTACTTGTGATAATATTCAATGGTTGCATCGATATTCTTGCATTATTCGACATTGTTGAACCTCTCTTTCTGATGAATATTCTATTCTAAATTAAACGATAAGATTTCGTGTCAACTCCTATAATGTCAACGTCAGGTAGTGTTACGTCGCCATGTTGTTAATAATATATTTAAATTGTGCAAAAAAGATAATTATAAAATATAATTAAATTTAATATCATATATAAATAACTGTGATTCATATTTCTTCAACTAAGTGGCACAAATTTAATGTTTGCGTTCGTAAGCGGTATACCTTCCCATCTAAATTAAACTGTAGAACGAACCGTGTTGAACTTCATTTTTCTCTTGAATCTATTTCAATCACTTTTTCGCGCGTTCAGTATACTCGCATAGCGGTAAGCGAATGACACTATCGAAAGTATCGAATGATCTTGCGCGTAGGTCATTATGGACCAAATCTACTGCACAGATTTTGATGAAATAACTACGACTCACATTAAAGCTAGTAGAGGTTCCAGAAATACAGATAAATCCTTCAGAAAACTATAACATTATTAGTTATAACAGAAAATCATTATTATTCTATACTGTCACTTCGGTCAGTCTGTTTTAAAATATCAGTTTCGTGAATATCGTACTATTCACATACATACATACACATAAAACAGTATATACGTCCTAATTGGTCATAATGAACATTGAAATCGCATCGCATGAAAGAATACACCGCTGTTCATGTCTAATCAACAAACGAAAATCACCGATTCTTTTTAACCTTGTCCCCTTGTCTGATGAAAAATTTGTTAAAATGTGAAAAATGTGAATTCGCACGGCCACTGACTCGAACTCACACAATCCTGCTTGTAATGTACATACGGAACAGCTGATCGGCAACTCGAATAATTTCCTCTTAGGTTAGCAGAGTTTCATCAGACTGATCCAAGCTGATCTGCCGCAATAAGATACATAACCTGTCTCGGGAAGTTTCTGTACAGTGTACCGACGAATATAAAACGTTTATGCGAATCGTGAGCAGGAACTGGGAACGATGCGTTTGGTGACAGCGGTGAATTTCAAGATGTTGCCCGTTTTTCGACACCGTGTGACGATCGTTCGATCATTCTGCAGAAATCACCGGCCGGATTCCAATGAGTTGTCGGTGTATGTTCGGCCACAATTCCGGAGAATAAAACTTAACGAATATCATGGAACGTTCACCAGAAATATCCACAGCCATCGACAGACCGCTGCTATTATGTCGATCAGGTCATTTGCCACAAAACGGCCCACTGATAAAGATTCTAATAAGTAATTATCTCTAATAATGCTTATATTTTAACATTTTATAATCTAATGATAAGGATTTTCATACTTATTCTGTATTTACATCTTAATGATGTTGCCTGATTAAAAATAATTCACATTTGCCTTTACACATGTTTAAATATTTTCAAGCCTGAAAACATGCTAACAGCCAGTCCCTAAAGATTCAATGCATTTATAAGGAAATTGTAAACAGAAGCAAAATATATATGCAATATTTAAATAATAAAAGAAATTTTTTTATACTGATAACATACATAATTTATTTTGTATGAAAATCCACAGCTTAAGATCAGTTAAGATTTTTTAAGATCTGTGAACTATGTTAATTACAATACTTCCTAATCATATTACTTTCTAGTGGAAACGCTGAAGACGAAATGGGAGATCCAGCTTCGCTACCAGCCACAGTGGTAGTGCCAGAAGTATGGCCTCACGTTCCTGTAATAGCCATTAATAGAAACCCAGTATTTCCAAGATTTATAAAATTAATAGAACTTAGTAATCCAATTCTCATGGATCTCATTCGTAGAAAAGTGAAGCTGAATCAACCCTATGTTGGAATATTTTTAAAGAAGTCCGAAGAGTAAGCAGTATAGATATATTCTTATCGATAAGCATTAATAAGTTCGATGTCTGAAGTTAATCATTTTGGTAGAAACGAATCAGAGATTGTACAAAATTTAGATGATGTTTTCCCTGTTGGAACATTTGCACAAATACACGAAGTACAAGATTTAGGAAATCGTTTAAGATTAGTTGTAATGGCGCATAGAAGGATTAGAATTGTTGGCCAGATTTTAGAAGATCTTCCGAGACCTCAACAAGGTGCGTACAAGAAACGTTTGTATAAATCCTTTTGACTAAGCAATAAAAAAATTCTTTTACATTTTTATTTCGTGTTAGTTTGGTTTGAGAAATACTATTAATTTAATTGTGTGTGTTTTCAAATTAATTTATATGTAAATACAAATAAACGCTATACTATACAGAGATGAAACTGACGTTTCCTCTATTAAACACAACAATTCGCGTCCCTGTAGACGATTCCGTTTCTGGTGGCAAAACGAGTCGTAGGGCGCTTATTCGTAAGAAACTGGAAAACAAAATCCCAGAACCGGAAAGGGTACAAAAAATTGAGGAAATCCCCCCTGAAAATAAAGTACCGGAAGAAGCACAAGAAAGACCAGAGGAAAGACCTAATCCTCCAGTTAATCCTTTGGCTACTCCTTCAGTTAATCCCTCAGTTAATCCTCCGACAGATTCCACAACTCAGTCCAGTACCCAGCCTTTGTTAATGGTAGAAGTTGTAAATATTACCCATGAGAAATTTAGACAAACCGAAGAAATCAAAGTAAGTGTAGAGCAAAATCTATTTTATTGATTTGATTTTAATTTGTAAAAGTAAAAACATTTTATTTTTATGTACAGGCGTTGACACAAGAGTTGATCAAAACAATTCGTGACATTATAAGCATGAATCCATTATACCGCGAGTCCTTGCAACAAATGTTGCATCAAGGACAGAGAGTCGTAGATAATCCAGTTTACTTAAGTGATCTGGGCGCTGCTTTGACAGGAGCAGATGCACAAGAATTGCAGCAAGTGTTAGAGGAAATGGACGTAAGTAATTAGAAACTACACTTTAATCATTACAATTGATTTCACAAATAATTCTATCTACAGATCTCGAAAAGATTAAGATTATCGCTAGCACTATTAAAAAAAGAATACGAATTAAGTAAATTGCAACAAAAGATTGGGAAGGAAGTTGAAGAAAAAGTGAAACAGCAGCACAGGAAGTACATCCTTCATGAACAATTAAAAGTTATCAAAAAGGAGTTGGGTTTGGAGAAAGACGACAAGGATGCCATAGGAGAAAAATACAGGGAACGTATCAGGCAAAAGACAGTTCCCAAAACAGTGATGGATGTGTTGGAGGAAGAATTAAATAAACTAAATTTCTTAGAGAGTCACAGTAGTGAATTTAAGTACGTTCTTCAATTTTTAAGTCAAAGATGTTTAACTCTTGATACGTGAAACGTGAACATTTCGATGTTGTTTTCAACATTGGTCATTAATAACTAATCTTCAATTTAATAGTATTATTTCATTTTCAGTGTGACGAGAAATTATTTGGATTGGCTTACATCCATGCCATGGGGTGTAACTAGCCAAGAGAATTTGAATCTTCAACAGGCAATCGAAATTTTAGACAAAGATCATTATGGAATGGAAGATATAAAAAAGAGAATCTTAGGTAATTATAATAAATCATGTATAAGTTGCAAAAGTACATATATATATATGCATATTTATTATTCGTATTTCAATTTTAGAATTCATCGCTGTCAGTCAATTGAAAGGATCGACGCAAGGGAAAATACTATGCTTCCATGGGCCACCGGGTGTTGGAAAAACGTCCATAGCTAGATCCATTTCTCGCGCGCTCAATCGAGAATATTTTAGATTTAGCGTTGGTGGAATGACGGATGTTGCAGAAATCAAAGGTCATAGGAGAACTTACGTGGGTGCGATGCCTGGCAAAGTTATCCAATGTTTAAAAAAGACCAAGACCGAAAATCCTCTCGTTCTTATCGATGAAGTCGATAAAATTGGAAAGTATGTACATTTACAATAGGTCTTATAAATTATCAATAATTTCTCGTATCGATTTATTGCATTTATTATTAATATTTTTCGTCAGGGGGCATCAAGGTGATCCCGCTTCCGCTCTTTTGGAGATGTTAGACCCAGAGCAAAATGCAAATTTCTTGGATCATTATCTAGATGTAGCTGTAGATTTATCTAAAGTACTCTTCATTTGTACCGCAAACGTTACCGACACTATCCCAGAACCTCTCAGAGATCGTATGGAGATGATAGATATGTCAGGCTACGTCGCAGAGGAAAAACTAGCAATCGCTAAACAATATTTAGTACCACAAGCCATGAGCGACTCTGGTCTGACGAATGGACAGATTGCTATAAACGATGACGCACTCAATTTATTAATTAAATCTTACTGTCGAGAATCAGGCGTCAGAAGCCTGCAGAAACACATAGAGAAAGTCCATCGAAAAGTGGCGTTCAAAGTAGTTAAGAAGGAAGCGGACAAAATCGACGTAAACGTCGCCAATTTACACGAGTTTGTAGGAAAACCTGTATTCACACACGACAGACTGTATGACGTCACTCCTCCTGGCGTGGTCATGGGTCTCGCGTGGACAGCCATGGGTGGCTCTACTCTTTTCATCGAGACGAGATTGAGCAAGCCTCTGGGCACGAAAAAATTGGAAGGTAGTCTTGAAGTCACCGGCCATTTGGGCGACGTGATGAAGGAATCGATTCGCATTGCGATGACAGTCGCCAGAAGCTATTTTTCTCAGATAGATCCATCGAACAGTTTTCTTTACGATGCCCATCTGCATTTACACGTGCCCGAGGGTGCCACTCCTAAGGATGGTCCGAGTGCTGGTATCACTATCGCGATTGCGTTGATTTCGCTTGCCAAGAACCAACCAATCAGGCAAAACGTTGCGATGACGGGCGAGCTTAGTCTTATGGGTAGAATCCTCCCTGTCGGTGGTATCAAGGAAAAAATAATTGCCGTAAGTACAATCTATAATTACTTGTTAAATGAGAAATTATATCTGTTTACTAAATATGGAATTATGTATATTTTCAGGCCAAACGCGTCGGCGTGAACTGCGTGATTCTACCCGAGGAGAATAAAAAGGATTACAACGATCTCCCTAAATACATCACGAATGGCCTTGAGGTTCACTTTGCCACGACCTTCGACGATGTGTACCGCATATGTTTCGCGACGCAACCACAAACTACCACTAGCACTACCACTCAGGCACAGGAGAGACCTTATAACATTGATATTACAACCCCACAGACGGCACCGCTTTTGGGTAAAAATATGAACTGAGTTACTCGAATCACCAAGTACTTATACATTCTAGTAATTAAGTTAAAACTCGAAAAGTCGAAAGATTTATTTTGTCATTTAGTATTTCATATGCGTATAACTTCAAATTTAGAAAAGGAAATGCAAATTTTTTATATAGTTTCACTCACCAAATTTCAATTCCATTAGTGAACCATTCATTTTTTACATAATATAAATTGAAACGATATCAAGGAAGAAAGTTTAGATTTTTGCTACTATCGTAATGCATCAATCTCTTTTTTATGAACATTTTATTAAAAAAACATTGTAAATACGAAATATTCTATGTTATTATCACATATGGCTGTAATTGAACATTAATAATAATAACAGAAATAACGTTTATAATACCATGTAAATAAGACTTGTTTGTTGTGTGCAGATCTTATTTCTGCTATAGTACAGTGTTGTTTATTACGCAATTTATGTACATAATTCAAGAAGAGTAAAAAAAAAGAGGATGAAATATTCATGACTAATAAAAAGAATATTTTCTACAAATGCTGTACTTGCTAATACATCCTTTCTAAAACCTAGAAAAGGACATAATCTTCCTTAAACTATCTTAAACAAACTGTTATTTTGCAAATACTGTGTCAAACGAACTATTGTACAATTTGTCAATTAAAATAAATCTAATTGTACTAAATCGCATAATTCAAAATTTCATTTAAGTTACAGAAACTCGTGTATCAAATGTTGTATAAACCAGCTTGTATATCAGCTTGGAACTTCCATTTTGCTTAATCTAATTATAAAGTCGCAAAGTCTCATTTGTACTTGTATTTCTGTCGGATTGTTCGTAACGTAGAACCCTGGTACACCAGCTTTTTCTAAAATACTTTGTTGGTCTGCTACTTTCTGATCCAATTGCAAAACTAACTTCATATCCATTTCCTTTAGTTCTTCTTTATGTTTTTTGTATAAAGCAGCTTTTATCGGTGATACTTCTTCTTCTGTTGATGCAGAGGATAATGACTCTTGCATTTCGATTTTCTGCTGATTAAGAAGCTGAAGACGTTGTTGGAAGAGATGTTTCTCTGTTACATGCTGAATCTCCATCAATCCTTTAACAATCTCGAATATTGTGTCGTTTAATAGAGAATTGGCTAAGCCTGATAATAATTCATATGGAAGACGCATTTGATATTTAGGAGGAAGTTCGCTCGCCATGTGCTGGAGCTGCTCTACTAAGAAATATAACTTCCTTTGAAGATCTTGAGGAGTTGGAGTGGCAACATCCATCATCTCATCTGGTTCAACCAAAAGAATAATCTGGACAATAAATAACTTTCATATAAAATATAATTGCGTTTATAGTTAAAATAGTAAACACTTTTTAAATGTATTGATCAGAGTATAAAAACGAGGTTAATTTTGATGTAACTGTTTTTATTAACAGTAGTGTGGTACAAAACTTCGAAATAAATCTCCGAAGCTAAAATAATAATATTATGTAAGTAAAACTTTTATTTAAGATATTAAAATTGATATTTATCAAATTAAAAGTAACAAACAATTGAGAACTAACGTGAACGTAATTTACATATACAAACAATCAAATTGTAAAACAGTAATAATTATAAAACAAGTTCCAATGTTTCGACGAAAACTTTCAGTTTGTTGTAACTTACCGGGTTTAAATTTAGTTCATATAGTTCAAAAAGTATCCTATTTGGTAATACTGTTCAGATTTTTCAGCATTTTCCAGATGATCTTGCGCGTTGCGTGGATTATAAGAAATCACATGTACTACATATTATACACATGGAATATATATGTATAAACTTGAATTTGAACTTTGAATATCATGAAATTGTCATCTTATCTAAACGGACTTCTATTGAAATCAATTTCCTCTGTTTCGAATCTAGTTTATTGTAAAAAAGAATAATTCTGATTAATACATTAATGGAAATGAATATTGTCACTTTTATTTCATGTACCTTGACCAAATTACTAATCTCAGTTTTCAAAGTTCAATTTTAGGCAACGTACACTAAATTATTGATAGATCGATGTACAATTCGAGGTACAGAAATTCTAACTAGACTCTCGTACCTCGCTGAAGAAAAGATAATTTATGAAAAGATAAAAAAACTGGGCATGTTTCAATATTTTACCAACATAATTGAATTTAAATCAATTTACGTGCGTCATATAAATCCCTTTTAGCGCCCAATTCCGTCGAAAATTAAATAGACAAAATTGCGTTCACGTGACATCTCTAGCTGTGACGTCATTAACGCATGTCTTTTAGGCGCCTAGTTATAAAAAATACTACAGGGTGCCCTACACTGTCTGACATAGTGATGGGCACCATCGACTAAAAACTATCGATTTAGTCTATAGTAGCCAACG